TCGATCAAAAACCGTTGAGATTAATTAACGTTATAATTTTTATTTTTTAAGCATGTTACTGCTTGATGTTTAAATCTATCTAGCTATCAAGGTTCATGAGATCAGCCTCGTTATAGACAGCCAGACAAACGGACAGTGGCGTCTTAGTAATAGGGTCCCTATTTGCCCTTTGAGTAAGGAACCCTAAAAACTTTCAATTTGAGCAGTTTAGTGTGCTTAATCAATTTAAATGAGCTTTTAAATTTAATTTAAGAACTTTTGGGCAAGTGGACTTAAATCACAAAGTTTCGTTACATTAGAATTTATCGCACTTAACAAGCCGTCGCGTTTTTCTTCTAAAAGAAAATAATAAATGTGTTTCCATTTATTTGCTTTCAGATAAGTTACTTACTAGGTATATTTTTTAAATTTTTAAGTATGTAACTGCTTGATGTTTAAATCTAAAGAAAATATAAGTAGAAAAAAATCCACGTGGACCAGGCAGCAGACGGGACTCGAACCCGCACTCTTCGCTATCCGGGCGAATGCACTGACCAGTTATGCTACCGCGGCCCTGATGGTCGCGAATTGTTTATTCGCTTGAACTGGAGCCCCTGATAATTCATAACGATAGAACTATCCAATTTGGAACACTAATTTTGACGACCTCCGTGGCCGAGTGGTCTGTACCGGGTTTTATGGTGTGGCCGACTCGAGAGGTCCCGGGTTCGAATCCCGGTGGAGGCAGATGTTTGTGTGATGAATACGAGCATTTGTACTCCAGTCATGGACGTTTAATATGTATTTCCTTATAAATATACTTATATATGTACAGTATATGTCTTCTATCCGTTACCCTAGCATCCCATAACACAAGCCTTACAGTGCTTACTTTGGGGCTAGGCTAATTGGTGAGTGTAAAAAAAATACAAAAAAAAAATTAGCGCATTTAGTACCGAACTCCGTTGCGCAGGTGTGGGAGCAGCATTAGGTTGATATATATCAGCTGATTGTTTCTCGAAAAATCCGCTGTTGCACCAGCTTTTCTTTTTAACGTTATTTTCATCGGAAATATGTCAGAAACATCCTTGATTTCACTTTGTTACAGGTTTTTACCTAACTAGATTGAAACGCGGGGCCCGATCCAGGGGGGGGGGGGGGGCGAGCCGGGCAAATGCACAGAGCGGCAAATATTAGAGGCGGCCAAATTGATTTAGGGGTGATCTATGATGTACGTCACACATTAGGTGGTGGAAGGGGTCCTAAGTGTCGTGACGTCAAATTTCAAAGTCTAATACTTTTGAACTCTTATAAAAATAATATATATTAAGAATTGTATGTGCCCAATCGAAGAAGGTTTTGCTTCGGGTTTGATAGTGGAAATACTTAATATTATCTGATATTAATGTGCTAGGGGTACAGTACCCCTAGAACATTATCGAATTCGAATAGTTTGCAAACCGAAATGTCAGTGTCAAATTTTGTATGGAAACTTGAACAGCAGCAGCACAAAGTACGTAACGAGAACTAAAAAGCAGTACAGATTTGACAATGACGTTTCGCACTCGCAAACGTTACGAATTCGATTTTGGTTCGTACTATATCAAACTTACTTTTGACTGTGGAATTCGCTGGTGTGATTTGAATATATTTGAAAATCATGTTCTAATTTTAAATCGCAACGCGGATTCCGAGATGAAAAGTGAGTTTGTTTTGACAGAATAGCGCGCTACAGGGTGTTGATATTTTATCAAAAAGTATAATTACAAAAATAACTTTCTGCGTAAAGAGAACTAATTCCGTCATGAAACAAAGAATCTTTTGGCATTTTAATTACAGCTACCAACGATAAGTAGCCAGAACACGGTGGGAGGATTGTTATCTTTGCCACACTTATGGCGGCGTCTCTCTCTCCCACTTTTAGAAGCTTTTCAACTCATTTAATAATGATTTCATAACAACTCGGTATCTTACATGTTAAGATATGTAATATCGAATATAATCGAATTAACTTCTTTATTCCGAATCCGAAATTTAAGCACAAATTAAACAGATACTGTACTATGGAAGAAGTATATATAGAAAAGAAAAAATAATGTAGCTACCTAGCAAGATAAGAATGCATTTTTGTTACACCAATCTAGGTGACCAGAAGAGGTAGCGGTTTTATTTGAACCGGAACTAAATCATGCTTCACATTGGGTAGTGTGAAGTAATATAAATCAAAGTCTTGTATGAAAATACGGGAAAATGAAATTGAATAATCAAAAATGAGGAAGCTTCCCAGCACTATTCATCATATCTCTTGCCTTCACTGTCATTGGATCACGGCTACAAAAAACGAGCCACTAAATATCACCTGACCTCAAGTGAAAATTGACGTTGATCAATTCCAGTTATTTTTTCCATGGATTTTGTGGAGGGTATTAATTTGAAATGGAGCTTGTTACACGTGTACTCCACGTGTACAAGTAATTGGTCTTTTTTATTTTTTAAGCATTTAACTGCTAGATGTTTAAACCTAAAGAAAAGCTTTACTAGAAAAAATCCACGCGGACCAGGCAGTGGACAGGACTCGAACCCGCACCCTTTGGAATCCGGGCGAATACACTAACCAATTATACTACCACGGCCCTGATGGCCGCGTCGAAATTTTCCTAGCCTTAAGCTGCAAGGCAGCGCCATATCTAACCCACAATGTCAAATGAATACTTTTTCAAGTATTAAACATTTGAAAGAAGAAATAGCAATTATAGTTATGTTTTTTATTTTTTAAGCATTTAACTGCTAGATGTTTAAATCTAAAGAAAAGTTTTACTAGAAAAGATTATACTTTAACATAAAATGCCATCAACGTCATAAGAGCCAGTGGCACGTGAACGATTAATATGATCATCATCACCAGCGCATTGATGTCCTCTTCTAAGGTTAGCACAGGCCATGGCGCAGTGCACACCATGAGGGTAGAGAACGTGCGGCGAAGATGCTAAGCGCGGCGATCCCTCTGATTCCGTCGGCCTAGGCACGTTTTAGAGTACCCCGACGATGAAATCACCCGCGCCAACGCGCCTTCGACTCCTCCCACACAGGCCACAAACATCAACACCACACAGCTAGCACACTTGCACACTAGCTTAGCACTAGGCAAACACCGCACCCGTGGGATAAGAGTGCGAAGACCCGGAGCTCTATTTTTGAATCACTCGTCTGACATAGTATCGTCGAATGCGACATTAAGTCACCTTTGACTCTCAAGTCGCATGATACTGATTTGCCGTATTTTTGAATCGTTCGTCACCGATGTTACCAGATTAATACATAATATAAAATTTTATTCATTACACGCAGAAAAAATAAAAATCGGTAATAATAATAATAATAATAAAAATAACCATTTATTTCAGGCATACTACCCATATTACATACAGAAATAGAAAAAAAATGACAGTCAAATTAAATAATTACAATCACAATAATAATAATTCAAATATAAATTTCAAATAATTACAATTCATTTAAATTACATCATAATCCAATAATCCAATTATCAATCAAATAAAATAAAATCAAAAACAAATAATAATTGAGTCCAATAAAATAAAATCGATTACAGCAGGCAAGAATGTCAAATATCACAAATCACAAATGTCATATTTACAGCAGTCATACACAGCACTAATTATTAAATTCCAACTCATTCTAATGCGATCCATAAAGGAAGCGGCTCTTTTTCTTATTACAGCATAGAAATCATCAACCCTATTCTCCGCAAACATGCCCGACGCACTACACCGCCACGGTAATTACCGCAATGAAAATGGAACGAAAAAATCTTAGTTCATGGCTGTATAATACGATTGTATTTTGTTGTTTATTATACCGGCACTTCAATTAGCTGTTCGTGATTGCTATTTGTAAACTTGACATGCATTAGCCGTCATGCCATAATAAAGAAGAAGAAACTTGACATCAGTCTGCCCTTGTCGTTTAATATAAAGCATGACAAGGATAGATTATCGTCGTCTAATTTTATATAAATAAAATGAAGAGCAAAGTGTAGTGCCGGCATTAGAAAAATTCAAACGTCACAACACCGTTGGTCATTTCAAAACAGTTTCAAATAGTTTAATTTTATTCAGTGGCTAAATCCAATCACACAAGAAATCTTAATAAATATAAGTTTGACACTTACGTGACGTCTGACACAAATTTGACAATTATTCTACCATTCGCCACCACCATTCGCCATGCAACGAGTGGTCTCACCCATTCGTTGCACTCGAGCGATTCAAAAATACGGATTTAATTATGTCGAATGAAAATTAGTAGAAATCTACAGAGCTCCCGGTCTACACACGACACGCTATACCCGGTACAGGTACGTACCTGGGCGATAGATACTTATTTGAAAAAATCATACGTGTTTGATTCGGTGATAATATAACCCTATGATGTTTTAATTTTAATGTAAGTGACGTAAGTCTTTTTTGAAAATAAATTATTTAAAAACAAAAGATCAATCATGGTTTAAACCAGGAATGAGCTGTACGGCGATCATTCATTAACATATGCATCACTTTTGTTTACACGGAATGTACTCGTATATCTATTGTACGATTTTGAGCGATAAAATAGTCGATAATCAATCGCTTCCTCGTGAATGCGATTTGGACCGAGTAAAGTTTTATCTTATAAAATTTTCTTCAGTTTTCTTCAGTATTCCGTGCTCCTACCAGTAAGACCAACCGGTGGGACCAGAGGCCCCTGATCAAATTAAAATAACAAATTATAATAAATCCATATCGATATATAGAATACTCCGTCTACTTATTTCTCCAATGTCTAGGAATTTCAACAGAATAATCAGTGTTCACTGAAACTTTGTTAGGTTCAATCAGATTTCATAATTGTAAAATCATTCGAAGGTACAAAGTGTTCCAGACTGGAAAGATACTGCCTATGTTAATAACCACCACATTTAGTTACTAAGCATGTAAAATGAGTTTCAGTTGTTTACTTACCGAGATATCCTCAAATAGTTTGTGATAGTTGGGCACGCAGAATGGCGGCGCCGCAGACAGTTCACGGATCATTTGGCACAGCACCCTGTTGGGGAAAATATTTTAAGAAATTAAATCTATCTATTGCCGCAGTTACATCTGGTCGATAGGCCGTATTAGGGTGCACGAAAGACCTTACTTGAACTTGGGCAACCGAAGCAATATTTATACTGGAATACGGGCTGGAAGTCGGTGTCGGGTAAAAAAACGAAATCTACCCGTTCATTTACACTTACACGATTACCCGAATTCCATTGGCACTCGTATTTGGGCTAGCGATCAAATGAAATCGCGCCATTAGTCGTTTACATAAATACTATGGACACTTAGTTCGAAAGCTTCGTCGCGCAGGCATATGAGAAGCATTATTAATACATACTCCTAGCGCTATAATTTATTTAGATTGACAAAATAACTTTAATTATATATGTACAGAAAATCAATAATATTTAAATACAAATATCCTTAACCTACTTATAAATAACATCTTATTTACAAAATAAAAAATAAGTCACCCCCAGCGCCGCCGTCAGGGATGGTGCCCAATAGGCTGGCAGCATTGCCGCGTTGAATGGCAAGGCTGATCCGTTGACCAAGATAGCTGCCAGCTTTTTGATCACCAGTAACTTCGGCGAGTGTCTTTGATATTTCATTAAAAAAGGAACGAGCGCTTGGACCCCATGGGCCCATGGTCTCAACACCAAACGGCACAGAGCTGAATATTTGCGCCGTTTGGAGCATTCAGCAGAGGCCGCCGCCGCATTCGCAGCAAGGGAGGTGCTCCCTGTGTGGCACAGCGCTCTGCGGATGACGTCATTGATGCAGGCGTGGCGGGAGACTCGGCTAGCGCTCATTTGAAATGAGAGACCAAAACAAAACAACTTAAAAAAAATATTTAATTTATTTGACAAAATTAACTCACTCATAGTGCGGATTGGTGGGGAAAGAAGGTGTCAATTTCAGCACTGCACGGAACGCTAGAATGTCGCTGCTACTGTTCTGACCGAGATGATCTGTGAACAAATATATTACGGGGTTTACTCACTGCATTGTGATTCACGAACCGAAATTTAATACCAGGCTCAGGCATGTGACAATGTACGTAAATATATTTTGTATCAACTAATCTATACTAATAATGTAAATCTGACAAGTTTGTTTGTTTGTTTGAGCACGCTGTACGCTAACATCAGGAACTACTGATCCGATTTGAAAAAATATGTTTGTGTTGGATAGTGCATATTTATCGAGAAAGGCTAAATTCTACATATAACATAACGCTACAACTAATAGGAGTGGAGCATCAATGAAAAATGTTGCAAAAACGGGAAAAATATTCCATTTGGTAAAAGTTAAACAAAAATCATGTGTTTTCCGCTTTAAAAGATCTATAAAAAAGTCAGCGACAGCATAATATGTGTATCTTTTACGGGTGGCTCACCACATTTACCTTTTTTCTCAAATTGATGCGGCTAGGTTTTACTCGCATCAATTTACAGCAAGGCACTTCTAGTGTATTTTAAAAGTTGTACCTACTGCTAGCTAATATTTTCTTCTATATGTTCTCATGTATATGATTGTCATGAATATGAAAACAATTAGTTATCTTTAACCTTGAGTTTTATTTTATTTTTCCTGTATGTTTGTTTCTACAGTGACCTAAGTTCTTTGCAAAGACTTATGCTTATCGACGAGTTTGATGCTGACAAAAAGAAATTGCCGTACCACTTTTATTTAGATAATTTATTCACGAGTTTGAACCTGCTAAACTATTTTCGGCAGCAAGGTTATGGGTCAACAGCAACAATTAGGGAAAACCGCCTACAAAAATGCCAAAAATTAACACAAAATAAAATGATGAAGATACACTAAAAAAAGGAAATTATACCAAAAAAGTATTAATTTCACACCAAGATCCGGTCCACTCGACTATCTTTAATTGTTCGACAAAGCTGAGCGAATGACGCAGTTACGTTATAATTATGTATTTAAATTACTTAGTCGGAATGATGAAGTTAATACAAATGATTACACTGAAATAAGTAATATGAGTGGAGTTTGCTTAGTAACAACCAAAAGCTATTTATTATACGTTGCGCTGTTCCGTTACGTCCAGGAGGCCTACTCTATTACAACGAAAAACGAAATGTCGATCGAAATTTCGCACGTTCCTTACTCTGTTTCTATTTCATTTCGAATATTCGTTCGTCCGAAAATATTTTGACATTTAAATTCTCCAAGCCTTCTCAATTCACAAAACTTTCGAACTAAAAGTTTAATTTGACAGATAATTGTTCGAAATTTCAACCTCAAATTGACGAAATGAAAAGTGTTACCTTTTCATTTTCGTTTTGGGATTTATGTTTAAATTAAACCTAAAATTACAACAACAGTATTTAATTAAGGCTGCTTAGCTTGAGGAACATTATTTAGTATGAAAAATTTACAAATTAATCAAATTTTTGTTTATTATTTTATTGCCAATACTTCAAAGTATTACACGACAAATTTAGGTTGACGTACATTCGATTGCATAAACTCTACAAATTAGTCGGCTAACACTGTCAAAAGAGGTTATTTTTATGTAATCAAAAGTTTTGACATAAAGTTATATTGTTTTCAAGTAAAAAACGTTATCTAAAAGGTGTAGATAAAAAGAACTCACAAACATAACTCATTCCATTCGTTCACGATAATTGTCTGTGATTCCGAACTTCATGTGCGTGTTCGAAGATGAAATAGAGTAGAGTCAATGGCGAAATTTCGTTTAAAATTCGTTCGTTGCCGAAATTTCGTTTCGGAGAATGAGAGTAGAGCTCCAGCTATTTTCCGTTCATTTCCTTTTCTCGTGCAGAACGGGTATTATTACGAGGCATGGACATACAATTCCTAGTCTCCCGGACGAGACAGAGTCTAATAATGTGAATAACAATACCGCAACGCACAACAGAAAAAGACTTGCTTCTTATAGCCTAGACGGGTAAAATATTTGAGAGAGATAGGGCTTATCGCATTTTCCGCGCCCGTCCAAGTAAATAACCTTTACCACAGAAGGTCATAGTTTAGGTAATACAGCTTGATTGTATTGATGCTGTTGTGTTTTATTATGTTTTGTGGAATGCTCTACCACTAAGTAATACGTGGTACTCACAATAAGTTTGAGTTTAAAAAAACTTATGCGTGAACACTACCTGACTACGTGATTTTTCCCTATAGTTTGAACCGATATATATTATATTTATTGAATTTTATGTATGTTATGCATATATATATATACAGGGTGGTCCAAATTTTTTTTAGATTACTCGCACCTGGGGGTATTCGAAAATATTCTATGTATGTTCCGCGATTTTTCTTAGTTTTCGAGTTATATTTTTTTTGTGTATTTTTAATGATTTCTTTCAAGCGAGTTTTTAAAAATTCATATCTTTTTTTGGTAGTAGGTATTTTGCAGTCCTTTTTTGTGACATAAATGTCTTGAGTGTTGTTTTAATAAAAAAATAACTCAGCTTCCTGAAATTACTTAAAATTATTAAAAAAAGGCATGAAACATGGAACTTTAGTTTTAAGAAGGATTTACGCAAACATTCAACTTCAATATTTAAAAATACAAAAAGGAGTTTCCATAGCTTCTGCTTAAGTTTAAGAACTCCGCATGCTTCTAAACTACTACTACTACTACTATAGTACTTCATCAGCCTATTTTGTTGTAATTGACCTTGGAAGGCGGATAGGCTGAAAATCATTGAAACACGATTAAAGCATTTAAAATTATTTTATCTGCTTTTTATCATTGTTATGGTAAATTAAACTTAAAAATGTAATTACAAATTCAATTTAATTGAAATTCCTGTAAAATAACTTAAGCATGTGTAATTTTATAAGTAGAGTATTGTAGAAGTACACTAATAAGTGTAAATGAATGAAATTATTTGAACCTTATGTAGGAGGGAGGGAGACTTATCACCGTTACGTTTAGTATTTCGCATAGCGTAATAAAATGTGTTGCAATGTGATATCCGCCTGGCACTTTAGTCTACTGATCCTGGTCCATTTGCCGCCCACATTAAGCAGTGGCAGCGCTAAATTGCATCATAAAAACTGATTGACTAAATCGCTGTGTTCTAACCAAGGCGCATTCAAACAGGTGTAAGTCAGACACAGGATCGTATTTTGTTCTGCTTTTTTTTCAAAGTTGTCCAAGATTTGGAAGGTTTTGGTTAATTTTTAGTTACATTTCATTCTTTATAGCTATTAACGGGATTGTTACCATGTACACATTGTTTTTTATGAGTCTCCGATATTTCGGCACTGTTGCAAGCGCCATGATAATGTTAGTGACCATGTATGTTTAAAACAATATACATTTCATACATTTGGAAAATGAAATTATGTAGTTGACATCAACACATGTTTTCAATTTTTGATGTCATCTTTCAATTGACGACACTGTTTGAAACAAAACAGGGAGAAAAAAATAGCCCTTGCTGAGTTTCTTGTCGGTTCTTCTCAGTACAAGGTCTCCCGCCGTAGATTTACGAACCGATGGCGTAGCGTTTGACTTTCACAAGAGCTTGTAACAGCCTAGACTCAATAAATGAGTTTGAGTTTGTAATGTTTAACAGTTTTTGCATTGAGTTAGTGAGCTTTTATCGTATTTTTGGCGTCAAACCTTGATGTCCGACTTTGGAAACGACCGACGAAAGAAAAGTGCGATTTCTGCCTCTTTCCAATACATGTTGTTGTTTAATTTTAAATAAATTACATCTCGGCTTTAAATAGTTATTTGCTCCCTTAGTAAGCAATCTACTATTAACTTCATTCCAACAGAGTGTTCCACGACACTCACGTATTTTTTTACTATTAATAAAAAAAAATGAAATGCCAATTTCAATTTTTCCTTGGGTAAGGTACAGAAATATATTAATTTTGTACGATTATAGATGGACGGGAGAAAGTTCATTTCTTTGCAAACAAAAAGGTAAATGATTTTAAAAATAAAGTGATTTAATAACTTTTTACTAGAAAAGGGCTCGTTCGAAGTCTTTGTTTTAGAACCTTGTCGTTGTAAACACACTTCAAAGTTTTATTTTACAAAACCAAGTTTGTGAATTGGTATGCAAACCTATGGTTTCAGATCAATTTAGCGAAGTTTCAAGGAAGTTACCCTAACGACCTACATATTAAACCCTTTCTAAATTAATGTTACTGCGACGCCAGGGTATTGAGTAGGTTCGGGTATTCGAACATTGTGTTAAAACAACATTGTTTAAGAGAATATATCGCTTTGTCCGCGCCGCCTCAACCAAATTCGTCCTTGTGGTGATTTCTATGCTTCTGCTAGTGTATAGGGTTCCCATCCGTCCAGATTAATCCCCGGACATGTCCTGACTTTTAGACTATAGTCCGGACTTTGTCCGGCACTTTAAATTGTCCGGACTTTTTAAATTACAATGAATATTTATTTTATTTATTTATTATATTATAAGAAATACATTATAATCTTAAGTTTATAACAGTGTCTCATAAACGAGTATTGGTTTTCCCGGACACTGCCGTTCGCTATCAAGACCCGCAGGTACGTCTACTCATCAACAAAAAGTTAAACCATTCATTCATCAGACATTAATCGGTAAGGTAATGTTATTAATATTTTTTGAAGTTATACTTCTTTAGGCGCGTTATGAAAAAATGATGAGAGTGAAATTTTAAGATGCGCGCATCACTGTAACACAAAAATTAACAGCATGAAGTTGGTTGCTTTAGCGACCAACTTCATGCTGTTACTTTTGTGTTTACCGCACATTAAGAAAATCTACCAACAAAATAGAAATAGAATCTCTATTTAGTGGGTGCTAACGACTGCATTATGAAGGCCTATCAAAAGTATTTATTAATCTGGAACAACGGAACCAAAGCGCGATTCAGGAGACTACAGCGCCATCTCTTGACCATTGGTGTAGTAGAACCAAAAACCACATCTTTATTTTTTGTAATAAAGTAACAGTTATAG